AACCGCTATGCCCCTCGAGCGTCTGTGTGCATGCATTCCAATCTTCTTCTACAACCGGCCCGGCAGTAATCCACCTCCACCTCATTTCCCTCTTGTACAGATTTCGTGTCATGCTTCTGGCAGGGCTGAACGCAAGTGCTGAAGCGTATACCTGAAGTGGATAGTTTTCAACTAGCTGACTGCAGTATTGAACAAATCGGCGCATGTCATAAACCAGCCTTGGTAATTGTGATGCAACGTTCTTTTGCTAAGTGATGTTAGAAGCGCTAAGTGAAAAGATAAATATCAGCAGGTAGAACCAACCTGAAGAATGCTCTCTAGCTTCGCCATTGACAACACCCCCTGCGACATGCTCCTGCAAAGTGAGAGAGCTTCAAGCCAGTGGAGATAGTGCTGCCTCAGAAAGTCATCGATGACACCGCCATCCCGGAAAACATCTGGGTGATTGGTATTCTTGCTCGACTGCCAATCGTAGAGATGATCAACCCAGTAGACGCAAGCATAGTGTGCGGCTGCTAACGAGTCAAGGTTAGGCTGGTTGACATTTTCGATGGGAAATCCGGGGGTAGCCAGGCCGTACATGTCGTGTCGTAAGGCCGTGGACATGACATGTAGCGACTGAGAGAAGATATCGTAGTGTAAGAGTGCCACACCAGAAGGGAAAATCTCGTCCACTGCGTCTTTCAACAGAAACTCCTTTGCCGATTGATGCACGAAATAGATAGTGGATTCTCGAATGGTCAGAAAAGAGCCGCAGAGTCCTACTATCTCTGTCAAGAATTCTAGATTGTCATAGATGTCCTCAGATATGTCAATGAACGACGTCAGCTCTTGTATCGTAATAGGCCGGTAAGTATTGCAGAGGACAGCCAGCACTTGTTTGCAGAGATCTGCCTCGTCCGAGCAGCGAAGTTGAGCCATCATTCGTTGGTAGAGAGAACCAAGACCTGGTGGAAACGTGTTCAACTTAGTAAGAACCCTTGACCTTGAGTACTTCGTGAGTTCTTGACAGACCAAAGCCACCCAGAGGAATGTATTCTCTGCATTGCTGGTCAAGTGTTTTTGAACAGCACGCTTTGTTTTGTCGTCGTATCCCTTTAGCTTCGCTAGTTCATCTACCTGGTATTGAATATATATGCTGACAGCAGACGCGACGGACTTTTCGTTTAGCTTGAGATCGAGCATTGTCTCCACGGCTTTTAGACTTTCCTTGATGTCCGGCTCGTTGCGACTGGAGACGATCCACTTGACATGAGGAACCTTAGATGTCATCTCGACAATAAATTTGAGAAGTTCTCGCTGACCGCTTATGCATTCGTCGAGCGCATCGATGATTAGGTAGGCGCCCTTCAGGCTTGGGTCTTGCAGAATGTTTTTTAAAATCTCAGATAAAGCAACCCATCGATTCGCATCTTCGAAGAGTGCTTTTCCTGCATGCTCGTACTTTTTCCGCACGTGAGGAATTAGGGACGGCTGCTGGTCGAGGAGCATGTAGATGAGGCCGCGTAGGATGGCGGAGGCATTGTTGATCCGCTCGTCGATGGCCTGGCAGAAGAAGAATAATAGAGGGCCTGTTCCCAAAGTCGATCTCTGCAGTTTGTCGATAATACCGCAGAGTAACATTGTCTTGCCCTTGCCGGGATCGCCGTTGATCCAAAGCAGGTTGCTGTCCAGGCTATCGCGCCAATGTTGGAATTCAGAGTTGTCAAAGACCCAGTGATA